GACCAATGGTGTTTAACAAAAGGCGGGTCAAAGCAGAAAAAAAATCTCCAATGAGGGTTAAGAGGTGTTCCTGTGGAGGTGGGTTACTAAATACACGTGCTTTGAGGTACAGTTAGCAAACTTATGATTATTTTTCTCAAGGTTCCTGATGTAAGCATATCGTTTGCCATTCTTTGTTATTTGCAATAGTAATTGAATTATTTTTAGACACTTTTTTGCAGTAAATTGAAAAGACTATTTTTTTTGTGTGGATTAGCATGTTACCAACTATCATGGTAATGTGATAGTTTACCATGTTTTCACTGGTATATTATATTCCTACACAACTGTAGGAATATAAACATGTGACACATTTAAACGTCATGTGAAATATAAGCTGCATTCCAAAATTATTTAAAAACAGCAATTTTCTTATAGAAAATGTATAGCATGAACTGTGAGAGTTGGAAAGTGATGCCAGAGATGCTCTCCAAGGGAGCTGACAGAGCTTGGGCAATATTGAAAAGAAAATGGACAAATGATTCAATGTTTAGATGCATAAATCTCTAAATGACATGCAGCTATACCTAGTTTTTAAAAAAGCATTGGCTCAGTGGGGCTTAATACATATGCATACCACACTTTTCATAACTTATTTGTAAAACTGTCATTTGTCACTTTAAATCTTAATAAAATGCATTGAGTTTGATATTTAATAAAAGGCGGGTCAAAGCAGAAAAAAACCTCCAATGAGGGTTAAGAGGTGTTCCCGTGGAGGTGGGTTATTAAATACACGTGCTTTGAGGTACAGTTAGCAAACTTGTGATTATTTTTCTCAATAAAATGCATTGAGTTTGATGAAATATGACAAAATGTCAAAGAATCTGAATAGTTTTGCAAGGCACTGGAAATTGTAAAATTATGTTTGCGGCATGGAATGGAATACAATACAATAAAAGCACATAATAAGGTGGTATGTGGCCCTCTGCTGGACAGACATTAAGACTTTGGATTCTGTCCATCTCTTTGTGAAAAACAGTGCAAAACATACTGACCACTACTTGCATCCATCTCTAATCTGCCACAAGCCAAAAATAGAATTGATGAGATAGATATAGATGGGTAATTCCCAGCTACTCTTGAAAGACTGCACTTACCAAGCTTAAAAGCAGGAACTGGTGTCAAAATGTTTAGGGGGGATATATAGTGAAACATTAATGATGCTTGCTGTCTGTTTGATTGTTGTGGAACACAATGTGTGAAGAAGTGAAACAGGAGAAGCTTGGCTCTACAATGTTAGGTTCAGTGCCAGTAGGAAATAAAGGAGACGCATCATGTTTCAACTCAGTGAAGGAACAGGTTGCAAAAGGCAAATGATGAAAAAAAAAAAAATCATATTACTTTTCAGAAAAACAAATACAGTGCGTCTAAGTCAGGACCAGAATAAATCATTTTAAAGCTTTTTCCACCTTTGACGTAGCCCATACCCTGTTCAATTCAGCTGAAAAACAGATATGTTTGGGATGGGATATATTAAAATAAAAAAGGTGAAATATGGGCTATAATAAAGTGTAGGTAATAATCAAAAATTGCAGTATATTGAGGGCCAATAGTGAAGAAATAGGATGTTTTTCTTTCAATATTGATTAAGAAAGGACAGAAACTAATTAAGGAGAGTACCAGGAGGCCCAAGATCACAGCAACACTGAAGGAGCTGCAGGAATTTCTGCCCAATGGTGACTGTGTTCAAAATGACATCATTCTTCTGTATTCTTCAAATGTCTGAACTAAGCAGTAAAACATCCAGGCCTGGCTAAAATCTCCCAGAACCTAGTGAGGTAATGTTGTATACAGTCTGATGTAGTCATACTTTAATTTTTAGCACCATAATTCTAAAAGGTTTTTCTTGGCAGAGAAGCAACTCTCTTCTCTGCATCACAAAAAATTACTGTGAAATAATGGTAGTGGCAGCATCATGTAGTGAGGTAACCGCATCAGATGGAACATTATTTTAAATAAAATTATGGATTGCTTCAGAATCAGTTTGGATCCAAAACAATCAGTTGTTTGCTACAAAGCTAGTGAGAAGGATCAATTTCATTTCTCAGATTTGCTGTAAAATAAAAAATAAAAATCATCAACAACAACAGGGTCTTTTCATCAGGGAAAAAAAAAAGTTTTGGAATAAAATCTGACATAAAATTTGTGGATCTTTAGAGTTTTGTGCACAAAAGAAGTCTGCCATAATCTGATAATACTGGGAAACTTTAATAAGATAGACTGAGTTGCTATTACCAGAAAAATGAAAGGTGATTTTTTTTTTTTTTATTTTAAGTGCTCCAATAAAGTATCAGGTAAATAACTGTGGAGACTTGACAATGCAAATCACTGCAACTTTTTAAATTTTAACCTAATAGATTTGCTTATCTTTCAGTTAAATTGTGCAGGATTTATTACTGGTTGAAAAGTTTTTTAGTAACACAAACCTATAACGTTGATGAAACAATAAAAAGGAGTCTAATAAAGATGTTTCTCTCTCTAATAACGTGTGAATTTTATGGAGAACGAACATACGCCATGTTAGTGTGGCTTTCAGTTTTCCCACCTGTTTTTGACACAGTGACCTTTAGATGCTGGGGTGTCACAGTGTGGCCGGTGTGGAGTCCGTGGGGCAGTGGAGAGGGAGGGCGCTGAGCACACACCATATATGGGCACACCACCGACTCTGAGCTGCTATTGGCTGATGGACTTATGCAGCTGCTTGTCAACAAGATGGCCTTCCTCCTCTCGCCGTTTTAACACAGATTATTTTGGTATCCCCGAGAACATACTGTGAAAGCCTGTGACACTTCTAGATAGACAGCGGAAGAGAGATTGCTGTGAGACCTGGTTTGACGTACGGTCAAGAGGATTCTCTTCAGGGAACTGACAGGCTGAAATGCTGCGATAGTGGCTAGTATTAAGCAAGGTTGATAAACCAGAAAGTAGCTGTGGGCTAATGTCGACGTTAGCCTGCTAGCTGGTTAGCCTAGCTACGTGGACTCGGGATAGTCAACTCGTGTCACCTGTATTAGACTAGTTTGGTTGGAAGAAAACACGGCTAACAAGGACTTGTCACCGACCTTCTGCTCATCGTGGGGTTTCCGTGTAGAACAACCTACCAGGTATTTCTACTCCCACAGCATAAATTAAAATCTTTTTTTAATCGAAGCTTGCTAGCAGAGGAAAGCTCTGTTATAATATTCTGCAGGTAAGTTGTGTTGTCCAGTTAGCTAGCTCGTTAGCTCAGGAGGGGTTTGTTTTTTCTATAACTTCATCTTTCTCTACACCGAAGTGAATAATCGGTTTAAAAAAGCTGACTTGAACAGATGTGTGTTAATTAAATACTGTAGTTCTCTAGTTTTTGTTTGACTTCTGGTCTGCTGGGTATTTATGTCCCAGCGACGCTTTGCTAGCTCACTGCTTAAATAGCTGGTAGTTGGTTAAAGACATTTAAATTTAATGTTGGGTAAAAATAATCTCCTTTGGCTTTGGTTTTGCTCTTCTTTGGTATTGTTGCCCCATCTCTCCTTATAACTGTCACGTCAGATATAGATGTCGTTTCAACTTGTGCCCAATATATTTTGGAAAGTTAACACATTTACCCAAAGAGTGAGCTGCGGGCCTGCGTTTTTGACTAGAAAACTTTAGTCACAGTGAGGACAACAATCTGACATTTTTTGTGCATCGACTTTTTAACGTGCTCCTGTCACGATGTGTGGTTCTCTCCAAGAAAACAACTGCGATCCAATCTTTAGTGTTGTGCATGTTGGTTAAGATCTTGAAGAGGTCTTCTGTAATCAAACAGCTATTCAGGTGCTTTTTACAGCAAGTTAAAACTGCTTATTAGACATTCTGTAAAACTTGGATTCTGAAAAGATCACTTGTAGAACAACGCCCATTTGGTCAGTTCTTTCATTTTTTTGCANTGAATAATAGTCTAATCGAGATAAAAACCTACCCTCCCAATCTTCCAAGCCCACATGCCTCAAGTGACATCTCATTACCCCAAAGACTCTTTTTAGTCTGTTCACTTTTTTCTTTTGTACACATAATTTATTCATGGTTTTAACAAAATTCCACTTGCTTTTGTGTTTGTTTACATTCCGTACAGTTGTTGTATGCCTAAATTTGGCAAAAAAAGATGTGAAAACAGTTTATGAATTAGCCTGAAGTTATTGACAATAAAGGGTTGGTCAGAACTTCTGACTCAGCTGCTGTTAACTGAAAACGACTGCTTGTCATCAGAGTCGTAGTCATTCCATTTGACAGCAGAATGAGGATGGGAGAGGAGAAAAATCCCATTACTCAACAGTAACAAAACGAGTTGTTTAAGATAAAGTATTATGATTTCACATTGCATGCAGTTCAACTGTGCTGCCAAATCATATTGTGATTTAATATGAAATAATCTCAGTTTGACATTTATCGTACTCATTTTCTGAGTGGCAAATATACATAGAAAACAATCGGATGATATAATTCTTGACAGAATACAAAGGACTTTACATCAATTCAAGTTTCGCCATCTGCCCATCATGACTTTGGGTTCATATGTCAAAAATTGTGTCCGTGGTACTCGCATGTTTCAGAGTGGGAGTGGCCGATGTGATGATTTTATGTTCTTAAGAATTAGAAAATGTTGACAAACTGCCAAAAGAAGGAAGCTGTAAAATTATCTCCAAAAATATTCTATGGAGTTCCGGTTATGCTGCTGTTCAAGCGCACAAGTTTCATTCATTTAACGGGAATATAAAATAACATATAGAAAGTATATTTTAATATATAAATAGTTGTATTTGTTGTTCTAAAATGATGTTAAACACTGATGATCGGCCTATTTTGGGAAACAGACTAATACTCGGCTGTGTTTTATGATAAATTGTACTTGTACTGAGAGATTGTTTTCTACCCAAATGCTTACCTACATAAATGAATGTATACTTTCAGGAAAATCAGTTTCTGTCCTAGTATTTGACCTTATTGCTTTCTTAGTGTAAGTATGTGTGGACGCAGCCCTCTCTCTGAGTGGTTTGATGTCATTTATTTAGACGTTGCGTGACTGAAGCTCCTCTCTGGAGGTCAATACAACAGATCACTGTGCTGACACAGAAGTGTTACTGGAGGTCTTATCGAGGTTTGTGACGATATTTCTGAACGAACATGCTGCCACTCACTCTCACACACAGTCAGAGACGGCCGTGTAGGCTGGCGGTCACTCTTCCCAGGTGTCGTCTCACGTTCCTGATCTGACTGCTGGAGCGACGCGCTCCACTCTATTGTTCTGTCACCGGTGAGCTAAACAAACGGCCTGCTGGGCGTTCATCTGCTGTTACATTGTCTTCAAAGACACACAGGCAGAGGGAAACTTTGTAAAGTTTTTATTTTTTTTTCTTTCTTTCTTTTTTGTGGGTCGTGCCAGGTTGATTGGTGGATTTATGGCTGCGGTTCGCACATTGACATGAATGAAATGCCTCAGAGCATGACCGTCTAACGGACACAACTGAGAGTTATTCTTCAGCTTGTTTTCTTTTTTAACCATTTGGTTCTTATTAACTCGAGACGCCCTAAAATTATGATCAAACATGTAGAAATGATTGCTTGAATTCCTTATCCAGCCTGCCAAGTTTTATAGGTGCTAAACAAGGATATAGTTGTCTGAACACACCCACCCAGCAAAGGAGGTAGCGAAGTGCAAATAAGGAGAGGGTGATTAAAGGAAGCGATGGTGTCCAGAGAAAAACCCAAGCCGAATAAAATTAAAATTTCATGTTTCTAGTGTTTGTTTTTGAATAGGTGAAAACTATTTATCTTTCTTGTAATATTAGTCTGACTGAAACTGTATGTAGATCCGGACCATCAATCTCAGATTGACTGATCAATTTTCAGTTTGGAAAGATATGTTGTTTTAGGATCTAAACACTGGAAACCTGATTTAAATTAATATACGGCACAGCTGTTACAATGGATATTTTCTGAATCGTTCATTGTGATGCTGGTGAAATTTCTAGAAAGATGCTAACAGTCTAACATCTTTGAAAATGTTGAAAGTTGAACAAAAAGCGGGCTTTCACCGTTCAGACAGTAGAACCTGTTGTGTTTTTGTGTCATCTGAAGGTTTCTGATGGTTTGAAGGAAGCTCCTTTGTGTGGCGTGGCTATTTTGCAATCAGAAGCTCCTCCTCAGTCTTCAGGACATTGGAGGAATGTTGCACTCTGTATTATCGATTAACTTTACTGACATAGGTTGGATAACAAATACCTTCTCTCTGATCCAATTAACACATCCCGTTTGAGGTGAATACACACTGTTAAGTTTGATTTGACCTTTTATAGATATCCAACTGTAAACCAACCCCAGCCCTTGCTGAATAATGTGCCTCTTCATTTTGGGCTTTCCTGGTTGATGAGTCTGCAAACTTGGCAGACTGCATGCTTCCATGCGTCGGTGTGTGGAACCAGTTAATTGCTGGAAACGTACAGAAAAATCTTCATTCTCTCTTGACAGTCTGTCAGACAGGTTGGGTTTCTAACGATTAAGTCTGCAGAGTCGCTGTAGCTCCACTGGCTGCTGCTGAGCTTGGACAGGATTTGATGGATTAGGTTGTTGCAGAAAGCTTAATTCAAACCCAGACTCTTATTTGCAGAGATTCATTTGAGGAGTAAACGATGCATAAAGTGCATGTGTAAATGTGCCTCATCTGTTACTTGGGGTCTAACTTTAAATTGTGTGAAATATTAAAGACAAAAGATAAATATCCCTTCAGCTGTCTGGGTTTGAGGTACACGGCACAAAATGTCACAATCCCTTTTCAGAACTTGGACTCATTTAGAAGAAATTTTCCTCATTTAATAAAGTCTATATGTCAAAGTCTATATGTCAGACTTGGGCCATTATTAGATTTTCACACTACAACCTATAGAAGACATTTCATGGTTTAAGAATATCACAGTATGTTTTACAAATGTTGCAGATATGTATGACATGATCTAATTACTTTTTCCTACTGTGTCAAATTAATAACATATTTATTATTACACTTTTGTGTTTTAGCACTTGGATTTTAAGAAAATATTATAGAGTAAACATTGACTTAATTGAAAAAGTACTACCTATACCTGATATTGGCTGGTAATAATTCGTCTGAACATTCCTGCAGTTGGCTGCTGTACCATAATAAAAATGATAGGTGGCTCACTTTTAGTGCTTGTTTTCCCCAACTGGAAGTATTTTTAAGCAGCCTTATTAGTTTATGCTGCGTTCCATTTATCTTGGATCTAGGTTTGATCAGACCTGAGGTAAAATCGTTCTATTTAAGTTGGAATTTCAAAAGGGCAGCTTTCTGTAAGAGGATTATTGTACCTCTTATAATCATCATTTTGCTTTCTAGAACTACAATGTTTCAAAAATCACATAACATTGAGTTTTAGATGCACTCTTACATGTGTAAAATAAACAAGTATCCACCACATTTTATTGGTATTTAAGCGAGGAGCGGCCATAATGACGTGCAAATTCGACCTTACAAGTTGTAAAGAACGTAGTCAGAGTTGCTCCCTGTTTTATAGTGGAAACTCCGACTTTAAAGGGCGTTCCAGTTGATTTTTCCAACTCGGAATGTAATTTCCAAGTTCAGAGAGCAACTGGATCTAATCAGCCAGCTGACCAGCAGTATGTAGGAACACAATTATTCCTGCTGTCTGGAGCGAAATGGCTGCTTTGACTTTCTGCTGTTAATTAAAACAAACTTTAAACCATTAGAACTGTAGCGGTTACTTTTTTAAAACCTTGTATATCTTGATACCAATAGACAGTCCACGCTTATTTCTAATGATGAGAATTAATATTCTGTACTGCTACCAGGCATTTCTATTTCTGTGGGTTCTTGTATTGTGCTAGCAGTCAAAGTGTTGCCTTTCACTCTTAGATGTTTATGTTGCCAGGTGACATTTAATTGCTGAAGCTAAAGTATTCTGTAATCCTAAATGTTTTAGAATTTTTTTGGCTTTTAGACTGTTGTACCCCTATTTAGTCATGTTTGCAGAGAGAAGGTTTTGAACCTTTTTCTCATTGAAAAGCAGATTATTTCATTTAAGAGGACGTGCCAATGTTTAAACAGAATATGGTTTGATTCCGTGCCAGATTCCTCTTAATTTTCATGTTGTCATCGAGATAATATCTCATCTCCAAATACTGCCAAGTTCCCAGAAAAGCAAAAGCCAATAGTTCTCTTCTGGCTGTCTTTCATGATAGGACCAACATATTGCATGAATCTGTGGTTATCATGGTGGATAAGAAAGAGTTGGAGAATAAAACTAGTTGTGACTAGTCCAATCCCTGAAGAAAATGCAGTAAAAAAGCCTCTTCAGCCTCTTTGCTACAGTATAATCTGTCTGCTCTTAGATGAGTTGTTGCTGTGTGATTATAGAGGAAGCATTTATGCTGCTACACCACACTGTGTGGGAGGTGTTTGCTTTTTGCGCCTCTCTGAGCCAATCCATTAGTCCAACTGTATAACGCACCACCCATGCAGTGTGTTACACAGAAAAGAACAAGTGACCCTTACGCATACGTGTCAAATTAGCTCTAAAATGGCCCAAACAGGCGGCTCAAGTTTCCTCCTGAATGCGGGAATCGTTCATTAAATAGCCCAGCTGATCAACTTTTCATTTAGAGCAAGACTGTGTGAATTGTTTTTCTCATTTTGAGACTCTTTTTCACAGCATTGTATTGAGTCAGTGTTGAAGAATTTTTTTTTTCTTCCCGTTTACCTTAAGACTAAATTGTAATAGTTTCCTCATGAATAATGAACCCTTGTTCAGAGGGAGCAGTTAATACAAAAGGAAAGTTTCAGATCCAACAGAGCTAATAAAATTTATTGATCTTGTTTTTTCCAGGTTTGCAGTATATTAGGAAATCTCTCTCTCCCATTACACTTCCTACTCTATACTAGGCATATTGGGCACTAAAATCTGTCAGAACAGGGTGTTCAATACAGTCAGACTAACAGGTAGGGTTGGGGTTATATCTTGTTGTGAAAAATCTTTTTATCGTAATGACAAAAAAAAAAAAATCTGAATGTCTGAAGCCCCCAAAACTGACAGTATTGCCAGCTGCAGTCACCTTTTCTATTTCTCCACTGTTGATTACAAAAGAGCTTCAATAAATCTGTCAAAATGATTAAATACAGGTGCTCTGTCTTGATTTAAAGATGAAAATGCCAATTATTTACATAACCGATGTCCTGAAGAAGCCCATTTTGACAATTTTTTTTTGTTTTTCTTAAGAGCTGTGTGTGTGTTTGAGCTTTGACTGCTGTCAACCAACTAAACAGGCTCTTTACAAGTGAATTATCTTATCACATGCCTTTTTAAATGGTTAATCCAGACTTTTTCTCATTTAGGTTCAGTAAAGTTATTCTCTAAAATGGTCCTTTTACTTGTAGTAGAAAGTGGTCTTGTCTCTCTGAGCTTATTGAAGGTGTCAATCAAGTTTTTGAGGTGAAAGTTAAATCATAACCAGAGACCTGGCAGCTGTTTTAGCAGACTTCAGCATTTTAAAGCAGCTCAGACTAAAAATATTCATATCAGTGGGATTTAAGGCCATGTTGGCATGCAATGACTTGTCAGTTCACTGTCATGAACGGAGTAAATGTTTTGATTTTACAACATTTGTGCAGATGGTATGAAAACTACGGTGGCAGAATGTAGATCAGATGAGGCTCCACAGAGAAACGGGAGTTAACTAGTTAACCTCATTTACTTTTCCAGTGAACTCGCAGCAATATGACCTCGTTTTGCCAAAGATAATGAAGCCCACCAACAATAACTTAACCTCATTTGGAAAAATTCAAAGCCTTAAGAAGCGAACTACATTTTTTTTAAAAAATCTGATATTTGTTAATGTGTCAAATGGTTTTTTTTTAGTAAAGTTGATCCAGATTTGGCTTTAATTATATAAATGGTAACTTTGAACTTTATTGTTTTTATTTTTAAGAGTTGTGGAGCATCTTAGGGCAAATGGAGTAAGTGCAAACAGTTTACCAGTGGGTCAGGCTCGTTGCTTCGTCTGTCCCAAAGTATGCTGGCCCGTCCCTGGCATACCCTGCAGCCGCCCTTGCTACAGAAGCAAATGATGCCGGGTGAACAGAAAAGCTCCACCTCGTTCTGTAGTATAGCCAGCAAGGAAGAAGTGAGGATAGCAACAACGGTTTCACTCCTATCCCCCCCGCCACTGCTTTCTAAAAATAGGTCCAGCATATGCCTGGATGCTCCTCCCTGTGTTGCCTCCTATTAAGTCAAGACCTCTTTGAAATGCTGAGATGCAGAGAGAGGGTGAGGAGGATCCATTTGGTGCTTTTGTGCTCCATCGTTCATCCCTTTCATCTTGAAACCCGAAATGCAATCCCTTTAATTTAATCTGGAGACCATGGAGTGAGGGAGATGGTCTTGTTGCACAGAAGTGAATGCAACTACTGATTAAATTTGGCCAAAGTCTGAAGCAGAGGATTTGTGACTGGTGTCTGTAAGAGTGTGATGTTGTCTCTTCTAAACACTAGTGGTTGCACTGGGGCTTGCAATGCTTTCAGACTGTTTGATTACTTGAGGGCAACTATTCAGTAGAGCCTCGATTAGTTATTGATCATGTAATTTAATCCCTCTGCAGGTGAGCTTTTTTAATCTGCACTTTTAAATTGATAAAATGTGGAGTTTTCGCAATCATTTCTCACTCCATCCCTTCATGTATTTACAGGGTGTCTATGCATCCTTAGAAAGTCTTTAAAAAACATCATGATTTGTAGATGTGCTTTCAGTATTTAATATTTTGTAGTTTGTTTTTAATTGTATTTTTTGTATTTCTGTTCAATTTTCATTTCATACAGGTCTTAAATTTCATGCATAATGCTTTTAAAATGGTCTTAAGTCTTTAATTTGAGTTAGTGGAACCTGCAGAAACCCTGATTTGACCTTTTTTCTGTTTTCTTGATGCAGGTTTTATGCCCGGTGTTGGTCTTGGTGCCAGTCTGGTGGCTACTGGAACAGAGACGAACGATGAGCGCTCCTGGTGTTTGCTGGCCAGCATAGATGCAGATATGCCACGGTGGTCCTCATCCTGATGGACCGAGACACCTTCTCCCACATCCGGCTGTGGTGCCCTCGCCCCTTCGGCACCTACTCCCAGAACAAAGCTCGGAGTCCAGGGTCGGGGGGCAACAGTGGGGGAGCCAGTGGGGCAGGTTCCCCCTCAGTCTGCAAGGCTGAGCTCTCGCAAGGTGCCAGGAGGACGCCAGAAGAAAGTGAAGATGTAGGGATGATAGTTGGGGGTAGGGAGGGAAAGGAGGAGGAGGAGGATGTGGGGTCAGAGAACACGCCACCTGAACCTGAGCTTGAATCTGGGGCCATTACACAAACCCAGGCCCCTCAGCCTCCTCCTGCTCCGCCCTCGCCACCAACTACAGGGTCTCAGATGCAAGATGGGCGTGTGCTGTTGGACACCTGGTATGTTATCAAACCAGGGAACACAAAGGAGAAGATTGCCTTTTTTGTTGCACACCAGTTGAGTGGAGCAGGCCAGCCCAGACCGAGTGCCATGAAGGTGAGAACCTAACAGAGGGGTGTATGTCTCTCTTTTACATGTCGTCTTCAGAGATTTTCATGTAGTTTCCTTCAGTGGTCCTTGGTGTAGTGCCACCACAGGTGAGGAGAACAGGTTTTCCAGAGTGTTTAGTTCATTTGAAGCAAAACTGTTTATCAGGAAGAAACCTCCAGCAGATCCAGGATCAGTACCAGGAACATTTTCCACAACCGAAACACAGAGCAGAATGCACTAAAAGAAACAGAACTGATGTAGGATTATGTTCTATGTTAATGAAAGTAAAAGGTTAATAGCAGAAAAGGGACAACAATTAGTTGATGACAGCATTATTTCAGCTAGTGCCCTCCTCCAGGAAGGTGCCAAAGTCAGACAGAATGCCAGATCAGGAGTAGCTTCTATGGAGAGAAAAACATAAAATAAAACATTAATGTGCAAATTTAGTCTCTGCATCTTGCAATCACACAGGACTGCTTGTATTTCACAGACTACATGCATTCAAATATATTTGACGATATCTGTATGGCTTTCCACCATCCTTTGATTTATGAGTGACTACAGTTGAAGAGATATCATTCAAGGTTATTACAATGTATATAGACAGTACTGTAGCTAATGATCACCATCACACTATCTAGCGCTATCAGAATGTTGTGTAGCTATAAAATTGTGTGTGGCCTCTAATTAAATCATTTTCTGTTTCCACAGGTTAAAGGTAACTGGGCAACAGATTGCAGTAAAGCCAAAAGACGAAGGCGGTGCTCATCCTACGACCCTCCAACGCGCTCCCAAGCGCCGACTCCTGACACCTCCATACGACCTCCAAGCCCTGATGAGCTACCATTAGGTGTGAATGAGACAGATCTGCTTTCTGTGGCTGAGATGGTTGCCTTGGTGGAGCAGAGGACCGCCATGGCCCTTCAGGGCATTGTGGCAGTTCATTCAAACCAGCACCACCACCAGTCGCTAACCAGCACTCATAGTCAGGGCTTCCCCCCCAACCAACATACTCTGCTCCAAGGTACAGTCTCCGACCCTTCTCCCATGCTGTTTGAATCAAACGGCTCAGACAGTCAAGCCGCTAGCGAATCCCAAAAGCCATCATCTCCAATCCAGACGGACCAGGAGTTCGAGGAGGAGCAGGAGTCGTACAGGGTGGCTCAGGCCATCGCACACTTTGAATCTCAGACCCTTGAGAATCGCCTCCATCTGGGTTCTGGATCTGGAGTACCCTCAAATAATCAAAATGGAGATGGGGAGCTCAGAAGAGGGGACACTGTAACACCACCTCCACCACCCAACCACACCCATGGGGAGGTGAGGATAGCTTTCAGAGTGTCAAATATGGACCCGCGCTCACAACTGGAGCCAGCTGGCCGGTCCCGCTGTATGTTTATGAGCTGTGGTGGGGGGAGTAACCAGGCAGCTGCCAGGGCCAAAGAGAAAATCACCTGTGACTTGTACCAGCTCGTCAGTCCGTCTTCAAGAGATCCCAGTAGTCTGTTGCTTGCCGCCACAGCTTCCACCCCCAAACCAGACGGAGATCTCCATCAAGACAATCCGTCCTGCGGCACCCCGGACCCCAACCAGGAACTCTCCACAGGAGAGAAGAAAGGGGGTGTCGGGAGGGAACGAGTGACCGGGTTCCATGTGGAGGTTGTGGTGACGGGTGCTGTGGACCAGTGTGTCTTCTACGGCAAGGACAGCACAGAGAATGTGCAGGAGGAAACGGTGTGTTTCGCAATGCCTACAGCGGGAGGGGGTGGTGGTGGTGTTGGCAGCTCAACTGACCCATCATCAGACGATCCCCCTCCTGGACAGCTCTTTTTCCTTCAGTCCCCTAGGGGACCAGAGGACGATATAACTGCAAAGACATCTGGCAGCGGGGCAGGAATGTGCTCTTTGGACTGCGCCAACAACAACAGTCCTGGCACAGGGGTAACAGTGGGCTCAGTGGAGCGGGCGACACGTCCAGACTCCCCTGGTGTCAGGGAGGACTGCTCTGACCCTTCGCTGTGTCGCCTTTACCGCCATGTGTCCCACGACTTCCTGGAGATCCGGTTTCAGATCCAGCGGCTCCTCGAGCCAAGACAGTACATGTTGCTGCTCCCCGACCACATCATGGTGAACATCTTCAGCTACCTACCCACTCGCTCTCTGGCGGCCCTTAAGTGCACCTGCCACTACTTTAAGGCACTGATCGAAACCTACGGGGTGCACGCGGTGGACTCACGCTGGAACCAGGACCCCCTCTACAGAGACGACCCCTGCAAACAGTGCAAGCGTCAGTATGAGCGTGGGGACGTTTCTTTGTGCCGCTGGCACCCCAAACCTTACCACCATGACCTGCCTTACGGACGTTCCTACTGGATGTGTTGCCGGCGTACGGACAAGGACACTCCGGGTTGCCGGGTTGGGCTCCATGACAACAACTGGGTGCAGCAGCCTGCTGACGGCTCCCAGCCCATCCGCACCAAGAGGGAAGAACGGAGGGAGGAGGCCAGGTAGAGGGTGCAAACCAAGACTCATCTCATTGCATACCTCCTCCCGTCTCTACATCACTGGTCTGAGAACTGGGGTACAGAGAGGGCAACGGGGGAGGAATCAGCACTCCAAGACTGTTTGCTTGTCTCCTCTTCTTTCTCCTTCTTTCTCTCAATAGAGAGAGGTTGAGATCTGAAGAAGAAAGCGAAGCATCACACTCCTTGCCTTTTTATTTCTCTTTCCAACTGCTCCAGAATCCTTCTCTCCCCCCCTAGAGTGGCTAATAAAAGTTTGTACACCAGGGTTGGGGTCCTCTCCTGCTGCTGTCAGTCTCGTCTCTGAGGGGGTTCTGTTTAAATATGCACATGGATGTTGCAGTAGGCGATTTTATGTAAAAACGTTGCAGTGTTTGGATTGAGATTAGCATTCATAAAGTGACGTATAGAAATGTAATGCCCACCAGTGTGCTTTCAGCTCCCAACACGTGGCCCGCGTTGTGTTTTGCCCCAAGCATCCATGTTTAGCTGTACAGACGGGCTTCAAGGGACATGTAAAACCTTTCAGTGCAGAATGTTTTGAGTTATTACAGAAATGTGATTGTATAAAGCAAACTTGATTCTTTTTTTCCGGTTGTACAAGATGCCATTTGTAGCTGTCCTGCACCATGCATTTCTCTGTTCTGAATGTGCTGTAATGATGTGTTAAGTTGATCAGTCCCCTGCTGATGCTGCTGAACTTACTGCTCGTCACTGATGCTCATTCGGAGTCATTGGTGCCCCCCTCCCCCTCCAAGTCCAGGTTTCAGAGAGCCGCCCGGTTGTTGTTGCGGAGCGGACCCTAACCTTGCTGACCAGCCATAAATGGGAGCCACTGTCTGGTTTACAAAGAATTGTGGGAGACAGACTTGAATGGGATTTAAAAAGAGAAACTAGATGTCACTTTGGAAAGGCCTGATGTCACTTTGTATGGTTTGATTGATTCGTTTGCTTGTTTTGCCATTTTTTTTTGTTTTTGTTTGTTTTTATTGGGTTTTTGTGTCTGAATGTTTGCTGTTGTATTTGCTTTTATTCATGAGGACTGTGTTCTTCGTGTATCAGTCTGTCATCCTACTGAAGTTTTTTTTTTTTTTTTTTTTAAATATGCCATCTTTATTTTAACCCTCGCCCCCCAAAACCCTTCTTTTATCCTTCCCTCCACCTCAACAGAGCCATCATTCATACTTTGAAGTGTGTTCAACTATCCACCACAAACACCAGAAACTCTCTATACCAGCTTCCAGCCTTAAAAGCCCCCCTACCTCTTACCCCACCCTTCTGGAGACCGAGGCATCAGATACCTCACGGATGATCAGAACACAACAAAAGTTGCACAGTTTTCCAATGTTTCACACACTCCATCCAGCTCCACTGGGTCCACTTAAATTATTGCGCGTACAAGAACAGTGCCTGGAGTTGGCTCTGACTTTTCAATACCGGGGGAGGGGGCAATAAAAAAATGGAATCTATTTATTTTTGCCCTCTCCTCCTTTGCTTTTAACCTCCCTCCCCATCCCTGCAAGCTGACAGACTGGACATTGAAGAACTGATGTGATGAATGATGCTGAAACTCTGCATGGAGATGAGAAGATGGTTGGGTAGTCATGGGAGAACTCTGTAGGTTACAGATGTGTACAATGCTAATGGGAAGTATCTGCTTAAATAAAACAGAAGTGATGATTAAAACTGGAAATCTGAACCACTACGTGGTATGTCTGCTTTTTATACGCTGATCCACATTGCTCGTTTTCTAAGTTGTCATGGGTGGGTGCAGCTAGGTGGTTCCCAGCCACTTACAGTTCGCATTGATTTCTTGTAAACCAAAGTTTTAATGTGTGGGATAAACTTTATTAATGCATTTATGAGCTACTTAAACTTTCTCTCCTTCACACCTTTAGGAATGACTGATTGGATCAGAGTGTAACCAGATGCTTTAATGGCATTTGTATCTGATAACACGTTCTGTTAAATCTGATCATTAAAGCTGCAGGGATGAAATTTATGTACCTCTGAAACTGCAGTAAGCTTGTGAACTTTTCCCTGTGCTGTTTCAAAGATTTTACATATGGTGGCAACACAAAGTTGTATAAATAATCTGAAGTGCTTATGTGCAGGTCCCCTAAACCATTACATTGTAGAACCAGTCTTTTTTGAGGTACATCTCTACCACTTTTATGTCGACAAATGTTTCTTTGTTGTGCTTTATGAAATGGTTCATGTTCAGTCCAATTGGATGTGGAGTCTGAGACAATCGGATGTGGTCTGGACTGTGACTAGACCATTTTGACCCTTGAGTGAAATTTGATCTCAACCAGATCTGAGACCTTTCCAGATCTTTCCAACCTAAAGAACCGTTTTGACCCTGAGTCCCTACAGAATTTGTCAAGTTTTCTTTCATCATCTTTCTTTCCTCAGAGGCACCACTGAGGCTTCTTACATGACTAATATTCTTCCTTGTTTGCATTAGGTATGATGGGTATCAGAGCAACAACCATTGCATACACATATGTACGTCCCACTTTTTAGGTTATTTTTTAAATAAACATAAACCTTGAAGGATTTGTTTGTTTTTCTTTTAGTCTTTACAATTAAAGTATAGACTGAAATGGGCTTTAGTTTTCTGTTCACAAAGAAGCAGTTCACAATCCAAAGTATTTGGACATGCATTTATGATCATCCTTCACTTTAATTCAGAAGCACATTTTTCTCAGATTACTTACATGTATTGATGTTACCATAATGGTAGATGTAAAAGCTAGACCAGGTTACTTTAAAGCAAGAAAACCCTAAATTCCTTATTTGTGAAATTATATGTTAAGTATAACGTGTCAGTGATGACACATTAGGACAGTCACAAAGTCGGCCTTCTATTACTTGAACAACATCTCCAGGATTAGAGGACTAATGTCTCAGCACGATCTTGAGAAACTCATCCATGCGTTTATCTTTAGACGCATTGATTAATGCAACAGCGTTTTCACAGGTCTGACTAACAAATTAAACAGCTGCAGCTGATCCAGAACGCTGCTGCTCGCGTTCTGACTAAAACCAGGTACCTAGAGCACATAACACCAGTTTTAAAGTCCCTACACTGGCTCCCTGTAGCTCAGAGAATAGACTTTGAAATACTGTTGTTAGTTTATAAATAACTGAAAGGTTTAGCACCACAATACGTTAAAGATCTGTTATTGCTGTACCAACCGTCTAGACCCCTCAGATCTTCTGGTTCTGGACTGCTCTGCATTCCCAGAACCAGAACCAAACGAGGATAAATCAGGGTTAGAGAGCATGACAGCAAAATGTCTTTGATGTCTTCGATGTTTTTAATGTTTTTCTCTTCACTTTTTATCTATTTATGTAAAAGTGGCGAGTGATTGAGGGTCATTGCGCGCACAGAAAAACCCTGTAAATTCTAGACTCTAACAGGTAAAAATAGTGCACAAAAATCCGAGTAGGACGGCGAAGTCCTGGCGCAAAAATTCGCGTGATAGGTGGACGGGGCTTGGATACCCGTGTTAAACGGACGGCGGAGTCCGGCGACGACAGGCGCTTAAATTCCGTAACAAAAGTATGTTTTTTGTTTGTTTGTTTGTTTTTTCCCAAAAAAAATCTCTTTCTTACTGTTTATTCAATGTCGCATGCTGTTTTCATTTTGTTTTTTAATTATGTAAAGCACCTTGAAATGCCTTGCTGCTGAAATGTGCTATACAAAGAAAATTTAATTGATTGATTGATTGAAGTGACAATTTACATATTTTTGTTGTAAAGTATATTTTTTGTTAACATCTGACGTTGCTTCCAAGAGTTTCAAAGAGCTCACTCTGGTGCAATAACAAAACACTGCCAGCAGATGGCGACAATGTTTTATTTGAATATTTACTCCAGTAAATAATAATAATCGCATCGGCAGCCGATGCGATCACACGGCAGCTACAACATTTTCAGCTCCGAACAAAATGATTCAGTCAAGCAAAGTATCCCCACATAAAAACTGCAACAGCCATCATGACCAGAGCGTTGGAGTCCACAATGTTCTTCCACACTGCTTTCTCACTGATGTCGGGCATCTGAGGCTCTGGATCCTCGGCTGCTTCCTCATCCTGAACCTGTTGGTCTCCGCTGAGTCCACAGAATCCACCAACCAGGCGACAGAGTCCAGACTTTTTATCGTGCTCAGTTTCTAAAAGAAAGAATGTATGTTTGTAGTGGATGGGGGTTTTTTTGTCTTTCTTTGTGTTACTTCCTCATTGCCCACCTGTATCTGCATTAGCCTTCGCTCTCATCCTCTCCTTCGCCTCTTTGCGGGCTCTTCTGGCTCTTTCTTCTTGTTCCCAGTCCAGATCTTCCCTCTCCTCTTTAGAGTGACGTAGACTGAATACCAGACGATGGAGCTGAAAGAAAAGATTTTGACCTCTCCAGTCATTTTCTGCAGCCTGACCCATCCATTAAATCTCTCACTTACATGTTTATCCTCAATGGGCTCTGTGCAGAAGCTGACCAGAAGCACCAGCACTGATGTGCAGGTAAACAGGATGATGGCAAAGTGTAAGTAGTGGATGCCACACACCAGGAAAGGGCATTGAGAGGGGAAAATACAGCTGCCGGTGCCAAACCAGAACTCGGGCAACATCCGACACAGACCCATCGCCAGACCACAAATCAGGCCCCAGAAAGCTCCCTGCAGGTTCATGGGAGAGAAAAACCAACATTGTGTTTGCGTTTAAAGGGTATGACCTAAAATAAACTAATATCGGAGTATCCTTTCTTACTGTTTCATTGACCCGTTTGACAAAAACAGCCAGCAGGAAGACGGACGCAATGGGTGGAGACAGATAGCTGGAGATTGACTGGATGTAGTCAAACAGCTGACCACTCTGCGCTGCCTGAACAATGGGGATCCAGCAGATGCTGATGGCCACAATACACAGAACCCAGACACTGAAGAGCAGAGGAACAGCATATAGTTATATGGATATAGGGCCCTGCAATAGTATTCATAACCATGAGGGGTTTTTTTTTCACAGTTTGTACATTCATGTGTCTGTGTTCCTTAATGTTACACCACATCCTCAAGTCAATCCTCTGTAGAGCCACTGAGTTACAGCTGCAAGGAATCTGGATCCTTTTCATTTACTCTGGCCAGTTTCCCTGTCCCATGATGCTGCCACCACCATGTTTCATCTTGCACATCATGCAGAGTGATTTCATCACAGTGAGCATTTTGCATTTAAAAAAAAGTTCCGTTTTGGTATCGTCATTGAAAGCCGGGCATCGTTGGACCTTCCAGACCACTCAGGTCTACTGGTTCCAGTCTACTCCGTATTCCCAAAACGAAACATTTAGAAGCAGCATTCAGGTTTTCATTCTCCGCTTCTCTGAAACAAACTTTGAGATAACTGCAAAACAGACGAGGCACTTTTAAATCAAGGCTGAAAACACATGTGGTAAGAGTTGATTCATAACAACAGGAACATTAATCAATATATTTGCTGTATATTTTCTTGATGACTTTGATGAAGTAATTTGACAAAATTTAATGTTTATTACTGCTTCATATTTGCTTACTG